TCATAGCGACCCTCCAGGACCGGGCAGAACTGCCCTGTGGGCTTCTGAGGCTGTAGCTCTTCAGAAACAGAAACCCTCACCTTTCTCCCGAGGAGCAGCTCGTGAGTTTGAACTGCTGACCTTGCAGATAGCACCCCATCTCCCTGGGCTACCATGGGAAAGGACTCTGACTATTCTCAGTTTGAACTCACGCACCAAGCAGCCCAGGGTCACAGGAGCGTTGAATAGCGGCGGAGCCAGAATTCAAGTATAAGGAGTCTGTTCTTCGGCTCTGGTTCTGAGCCGTTCCGAGAGTGTGCATACAGGAATGTACCAATGTCTGAGCGGAATTTTCAGTAAGCTCCTCTGTGGTGTCCGGAGTATGCCGCTAGAGTCCTTGAAAAGTGCGTCCCCGTAATCACGCCTGCCACTGTAAAATCCTGAAATGCGCCTGATATCATCGCTTCATGGATAGGAACCGCAAGGTCCTGAGGAAGAAGACCTTGGCCCAGTCCCTACAGCAACAGGTGGTCCAACTGAGGCAGAACTTTCCCACTCCACAGACAGCCCAGTGCTGCTCTGGAGAGCCGTTTCTCTGCCCACTTCCAGAGTCCCTTCAAGGCCCTCGCTAGGGGAGCCTTCCCTCGTGGCACAGTGGGGCTTCCAGGCGTGATGATGGGAACGCACTGTAGCGGGACTCTGGGTACCACAGAGGCGCCTCCTGAAAATCCATACACACGATGGTACATTCCTGTATCCACCCTCTGTGAACGGTTCAGAACATTGGGCTGCTAACCAAAAGGTGAGTGGTTCAAACCCATTAGCCGCTCCAAGGGAGAGAGAGGAGGCTGCCTGTTCCCATAAAGATTTTGTCCCAGAAATCCTAGAGGATTTGTGTTACAAACCTCTGGGTTGGAATCAATTCACTAGCAGTGGGTTGGATGGGTTTGGAACTGACGTTGATGTTAGAGTTTCCCTAACAGGTGGTAGGTAGTAGCCCGCGACAAAACCTCGCCACACTCACTGCCACGCAGTCAGCTTGGCTCATAGTGACCCTACAGGACAGGGTAGCACTGCCCTGTTCGAACTGCTGCCCTTGCAGTTAGCACCCCATCTCCCAGGGCTACCGTGGGAAAAGACTCTGACTATTCTCAGTTTGAACTCACGCACCAAGCAGCCCAGGGTCACAGGAGCTGTTGAATGGGGGAGCCCAAATTCAAGTGTAAGGAAGTC